TGATATACAACCTTTAACCCTTTGACTCCTAAGAGTGACCGATCACTAGTTCTCTCCGTTCAACATCAAAACAATTTAGAACGCAAAGGAGATGGTGACTTGAAACAAAACTGTAACTAAAGAATACTGTTTCATTTAAAAATGCATAATTTTCAGAGCCGAAATATGAAGCACATAGTGTTGAGAATTGTTAGTACAATCTTGGGATTAAAAAGGTAGGGATTTTGCTGACTTTAAAAAAGGAACTTTCCAAGTTCAAGAACGCTGCACGTCACGTTTACGGATATGAACTCTAATCTTTTTACTTATGTAACTCTTCCGTTTTTTAGCATAAAGACACTAAGAGACTTTCAATGACTGTCTATTAAATTTGTTAGCGCGCTTTGTTTGATTTTTATTCCGTGACTAGCGAATATCTGCTCGAAGCTAGTTACACAAAGCATTGTTCATTTCTACTTCCCCTACGTCAAAGTGTAAGAACTAAATTCGCCTTCTATTAGCACGTAGTTCAGTTGCGAGGAGTCATTGTAGCGAAACCATTTCGGAGCCAAACAGAGTTTAGGAGTTCTCTACCCAGGAGTCAAGATCCGATGCAAGTTACGCTTGAAATATTCCTCATTTTTGTGATTTCTAGTTTCGCCCTATTCGTTATATCGAACCTTCATGTATCCGTTCTATAGTTTTTACCGCCTGTGCTCTACAAAGACTCCCAGCTTAAGTGAATACAGAGTTTGATGCTTCTACTTGTCTAAACTTCAACACTGTGGTTATACTGGCGAACTCGGGTGCACAAGACCACGTATCTGCGGCATCGGAAACGCGACACTGCAAGTAAGGTTGGTTATAGACTATTTTTAGCACCCACATTTTTTCAATTCAAGATGCGACTTTTAGTGAATTTGAAAGAAAGAAAATGAACACTTTTCGATTTGGCCAAAACAACGTATCAATTACAAACGATCATATTGAAGACTGCTTTTTGAATAGATAGATGTTATAGTAGCGACAAAACTAAAATACCATAGAGTCTATCAGTATACTTGAGTAGCATACATTAATACGTTAAGAATTAATAAAACACCGATGGGTCAGCATGTAACAATTTACCTATGAAGTCCCACTGTCTACATGTATTGTATGTATAATCACAAATAATCTCTTCTTCTTGAAGCACGGACACTTTATATTTACTTTATATTCAATGATATTCAGTGGTGATCACTAAATATAATTGCCCTTAGGAAAAGACTAGGGCGACATGGGCAGTTGCTATCAAAGAAAGGCCCCATGACAGAAACGACAATGGCAAGAAGCGTGATGAATAGTGTAATGAGCACGAACCTAGCTTTGTGAATTTTTATAAATAACACCCCTTTCAAACGAGAGTGCAACGCTCGAAAACATAACGCATTTCAGCCACCAAAGGAGATTTGTGTTTTTATTGCAATTGAAAAGGGAATGGATTTTATTTCGAAATAAAAAAAAATGCTGATTCTTTCTCATCTCGCTGTTATGTTTGAAACTACCCTATGAATTCAATCGTCGGTAGAAATTTCCTTTCGATTGCTGTTGCCGTGACCGTTAAAGCTCTTAAGCCCCCTAAGGAGTTTCCTGTTCCTATGGTCGCAATAAACCTAAGAATAGCTGGTTTTTTTCAGAAAATTTCTTGCTTAATCTCCCTGAGATGGCATATATAAATATTTCCAATTCTAGTTTGAATTCTAACAAGATGCCAGACTTGCCATGCTGGACAAATATGATGAGTTGTGATGATTCCTTTGTATTTTGTGATTGGTCTAACACAAATATCAGCAGAGGCTTTCTTCTGTCTCAAACAAACAAACAAACAAACAAACAAAAACAGAGATACTAACTTTCACTTCCAAAGAAGAAAGTGTTGAGAATGGCGTGTCACTGTTGAGCAAGGCTTTTTGGATGACAGCCTTTTTGTTGCTTTATAACTATAGGCATAATCACGTGCGTGCACACATCTGTCACACTTCTACATCCATGCATATCACCCACACACACACAGACACACACACACATATATATATACACAGATTACACAACCGTAATTTGATCGCTGGTTTAGAGAGTCAGACAGTGTCAGTTTAAATGGATTTTGTGCAATTCGTGGAACGAACTAACTCGGCTTTGTTAATGTGCATGACAAGTAATAAAATGAAAGTCAGATTTTTTTGTAATGTTTAAAATATTCTCCAGACTTACGTTACAAATTATGGTCACAAAAAAAACTCCAAGCTGTTTATTTTGTTTTTACAAACGGGGTAAGTTTCTAAAGAAACTGTAGTGCTGCGTCGGCGGCTGAGTATAACGAAATAATTTGGTTTTATCAATTGAGTTGATGATATAAACTGGCTACTGTGCAGAGTTTCAAAGCTGATGTTTCGAGCATTAAC